ATTTTTTAAAATGATATAATTTTTTTTTGTTTTAGTATTTTGAAGTTGACCAATTGTTACTATAAGCAATTAATGATCTGCACCGTATCATTGAATAGTAATAGTTTAATTATTTACTTACGTATAGTAGTAATTATTATCATGGTTTAATGGTTACACAGAAGAACAATAAAAGTAAGAGAATTATTATTATGTATGACTATAGAGATTTTTTATTTATTATGATTATGATTATTATGATAATGAAATTATCGTGAGAAAATTATGAAATTAGTAATTAGTATTAGCGATTATGAAATTTATCGAATATGGATTTAATGAGCTTTGAAAATATTCAAACAAAAAGGAAAAAATCTCATTGTCACAATAACCCAAGTTACGCAGTTGTTGTATGTGAAATTGAAATACAGTAATGGAGTTCTATTAATTATTGACCTTTAGATATAGATGGCATATACCATTTATGTAAATTAAATGTTATCATATATACAAATAATAGAAATCAGGAAACTGACTGTCGATGTTTTCAATGTTTTATTTATGCTTACAAAAAGGATTTTTTGTTGTTCCACACAAAATAAAATATTAAATAATAAATACTCGATATTCAATATTGAGTGTTGAACGTTCGATTCTGAATATCAAAATGACATTTTTAGAATTTTCAAGAAAATGTAAAACATAAAACAATAATAACAATATAATCATAAATAAAGTCCCTTTATCACAAATTACGCCAAATTCGCACAGCCCATACTTTGTGTGACCCATTTTTATATTTTAATTGAAAACGTAAACACTGAATGATTTAATATCTTTAATCTTTTGGTAGAATTATAAAGGAGAGCTATGGAAAATACATCTCTCGATTCTGAAAAGGAATTCGTAAATTTAATTGGACCTGAGCAGTTTTGCAATGAAAATGCAAAAGAATGGTTTAATTGGGCGAGAACTATTAATTTTACACCAGAGGATATTTTCTGTCCAAAAAACCTTGATGAATTGAAAGCATATGTAAAAAATGCAAGAAATAATAACAAAAAGATTCGCTGTGCTACTCAAGGGCATAGCTGGAGTACGCTCTCTGTGACACAAAGCTGTTTGGTGATTTTATGTGATAATTTGTCAAACGTCGAAGCGGAAAAGAAGAAAAATGAAAATGGAGATGATTACTGGGTGGCTCATATAGAGGCTGGTATGTTGGACGATGATGAATGCAATTTAACTGATGATCATTTTTAAATCTGTACTTCTGTACCGGTTAATTTGAAAAACCAGGTGCAACAATCGCGAAAGTTGACGAGTACCTTAGGAAACATGAACCACCATTAGCAATCGAGTCTATGACTGTTCTTGATACTATTAGATTCGGGGGAACTATCGCAACTGGGTGCCATGGTGCTATAACTGATTCAAGAACACTTGCTGAACAAGTTGTTGGTTTGGAAATAGTGACTAGCTCGGGTGAAGTACAAAAATTTGAATATGACCCTAACAACCCAGACGAGATGGAAGCTGCACGTGTCAATTTGGGTAAGTAGATAATGTATGGAGCATTGGAGTATTGGCCGATCCTAAAATAATATAACTTTAATCACTCCTATAGGACTCTTTGGTGTTATTTACAAAATATCCTTTCTTGTTAAGCCAATGTACAAACTTCGAATGAAGGATACTTACCCCGAATTAAAATCTTTTACTGGTGAAAATATTAAAGATTTTGTGAAGAATCCTATAGTTGACGGAGTTGAGATATTCTATTGGCCATTTAATGAATCACGTATTAATAATTAATATAAGACTGTTCATTTCAAACACAATTACATCTTTTTCAAATTTTAACATTGTTCCATCGTTATCAGGCCATTCAACCGACTCTTCGAAAGACAAACTTTGGATAAAAGTATGGGAAAACATAATTAACGATCAACAACCCAGTCTAAATCAAGATCAGGTAAAGGCGTTTCGCAGAAAACAGGAAGGTTTTAGTCGCCTTGCCAACGGTTTTTACAAACATCTTATAGATGATCCAACCAAGACTCCAAAGATCACACACGGTGCCGGACTGCTTAGGAAAGAATTTATAGACGATAAGATAAATAATCTGGTATGGGAGGTACCAGATGCGACCCATTACCAGGCAGGAATTGATAATATCCTTTGTCGGGATTTGGAATTCGCTATTAAAGCTGACAAAGACTTCGAAAACATCATCACAGAACTGAATTATATTGTCGATAGAGTATGTGTTTATCTATACCTCGGAGGAAGTTTTCTGCCATGTTATTTTATAGATTTTAACATGTTATTACTCTCAATAGATTTATGAGGAAAAACAGAAAAAAAAATATCCCATTAATTTAGTTGTTGAACTACGGATTCTTAAAAGCTCGACAGCTCTCCTGTCAACTGCATACGACGAAGATCCCGATGCCTATTATTTCTTTATCGAAGTTCTTTCTTTCAGATATTTCAACAAACATAATAACACCTGCATAGATACAGAATACTTTGAGGAGTTTTCCAATGAACTTGCCCAACGATGGATGGAAAAATATAATGCGAGGTGATATAACCTGTTCTATTTGTTGTGAGAACAAGCAACATGATTTTTTAAAATATTAATTCTCGTTATTTTCTACACTAGACCTCATTGGGCCAAATCTTGGGAAGATGTTCCGAACATTAAAGGTTATCTGCACAATTTGCTGAAAGAACGTATCCAAAGATTCGAGGCTGTCCGCGCAAAATATGATCCAACGAATATGTTTTTTGATAACGATTCTCTCCGCGAGGTGTTTTATGGACCAGGAAACTTGAAATAAATTTGGTTGCCAAATGTCAAATTATTTTTGTACTATTAATAATAAAATCATTAGTTAAAAAACTTTTTAAAGTGTCGTATAACTCTACTTGTCCATAATAGAAAGAATTTGGAAATATCATATTTCCGAGCCTATCGTTGCTAATACCATGTGCGACGATACCGATTCATAATGATCCGTTATATCCCATGATCGATATATATTATTTTAAAATGACTTTCTTCATGATTCAATCTTAGGTTTTATCTCACCCAAATTGCATCATTCTAACGATACATAGTCTTCTTTATATCGTAAATTAAGCCATTCATGGATATGTAACTTAAAAATTATAAATATTAATTCATTTTTAATGTGATTATGTTCTATGAAACTTCGAATAATGCAAGTTCGAATTCTAATTCTTCTTCATCCAATATGTAAAAGAAAATCTGGCTTTCCCGGTAAGTTTTTATTGACTATCTTTTGTTAACTCTATTGTGTATTGATTGATTAAACAAGTAAACTAGTAAAACTTAGATGTAAATTTCCGTATACAAGTCACTCTTGGTATGGTGGACTATTTATCCCAAATTAAAAGCTAATGTTGTGATTGTAGTAAATGAGTAATTGTAGTAACAAAAGAAGAATAATTATTTGCGGTAGTTTGAAAAAATTTATCAATTGTGTGTTGCACAAATCATTTTTAGCAAATAAATCAAAAAAAAAAATGATACTCAAGAATTTTCTTCCATTCTTGATAAATCAACAATTTAAATCTAAAATTATCATTAAAAAAGTAACAAAAAGAAACTTATTGACATGTGTTCAAAGAACCAAACCTCAACCTTTTCCCATTACTACTCCTAATGCAGCAACTAACTCAAATTTGATAATTGTTCAAAAAAGAATGAAGGGTGGTGCAAAGCAAGGTTCATTAAACTTATTTAGTTTCATCATTATTCATTTATGTATTTTATTAATAAATTAATATTATTAATAATTGTTTAGTAAAGAAACCAACATCAATCACTCAAAAAACTAAAAGCTACAAAAAACCAAAAGTTTCTGAGGTTCGTGTAACATTTACCTATCTCTTTATATTGACATTACATACCAACCAATATTATGACCATTAACACTACTATGGTTTAGGCACAAGCAACTATTGATTCATCTTCAATCCATAATGAAAAATTTGCCAAGAATTTGCCAATAGTTGAATTGGAAGAAATGTCATCTGTATGGTTTTTTATTTAATTATTGTTTAATGGATTGATTGATGATTTTAGAAACAAAATATTTTTGATCTCTTAATAATGTTAGATTGATATTTAGGAGGTTTTTGTAGAAGAAAATATTGGTAAAGTTTACAAATTTCCAGATCAAATAATTTCTAAAATTAAAACTTTTGGATTACCTGGAATGTTATCAAAAGAGGTAGATAATTAGATATATATCTATATATATAATATGACACATTTATATTTGGAAAAGAATTAATCAATATTTTCTTAGTATGAATTTGTAAGACATCCTTCTTTGATGATTCGAGAATCTTCAGTGGGATTGATTGATATTCTTAAAAAAGCATCAGAAAATTCTAGTTTAAAATCAAGATACATTTTAGGTAATGGACTTACCATTATTATTACCATTATTATCATCATCATTATCGTTTTTTTGATATTATGTAATGCAATAATTTTTAAATTATTTTGGTAAAATAAAGCTGGACCTTTAGGCTCTGGGAAAAGTGCATTGTTACTACAGGCTATCAATTATGCACTTTGCAATTCATGGGCTATTATTTATATCCCTGATGGTAAATTAACATATAATTATTTTTTAATTTATTATTACTATACTATTATTATTGATGATGTTGTTGTTGTTTAGCTATTAAGATTGTAGATAGTAGATATCCTTATTCTAAAGCTTTAGTGGGCGAAGAATATGTTCAGCCAACATTGGTTTCTTTATTGTTGAGTCAAATTAAGAAAGTCAATCGTATAATTCTAGAAAGTGTACGTCACTCATTATAAAATAACATAAATAATAATATGATGAATAATAAGAGAATGATAACGCTAATAATAACGATTATAATAATAACAATGATGATGATGATGATGTATAGTTGTCAATTAGCGAAGACACAATGAATGAATTCAAATTGAAAAATCAATTATCATTAGATAAATTATTGGAAATTGGAATTAAAGATATTCATCTTTCACAAAAGGTTTTCGAAAGTTTCTTAAAAGAACTTTCAAATAATGAGAGGTATTTTAATTGATTGACATTAATTTATGTGAAGAAATTAATTCTAAAAAATATTAGTCATAATTAATATTATTAACAATAAATCATATCTGTAGATTTTCAGTTTTACTGGCGGTCGATGTAGTAAACGCTTTCTATACCAATTCCGAATACACAGATAACAATGATAAAAAATTAGAATCTAATAAATTATCATTACCTCGTTCAATGTTGGAATATATTTCAGGAATTAAAATTTTTGTAATTATCTTATAATATACTAAAATATTCTAAATACTCTAAATATTGAAAGAATTATTAAATTTAATTTTTAAAAAAAAAAAAGAAAAAAGGTGCAATCATTGGAGCCTTGTCACAATCATATATGCCATATATCAGTAAACCATTAGAAGAGGCACTTAACATTAGTGAGTCATCAGTGTGGAATCCTCGTTCACCCACAATATTACAATATACAAAAGATTTACAACGATTTGATGTCAAAATGTATACTCAGAAGGAGGCGAAGGGCATTTTAGATTATTATTATAATACTATGATCAAATCAGGTGATTTTATTTGAACAGTCAATACTTATATTAATTGATTTATAATACTATTAATATGCTCTTTTATTTAAAATTGAATTTAGATCCAAAAGATTCATACTTTCTTAAACAATATTTTCTTACGAATGGTAATCCAAAAGAGTTTTATTTAAATTGTTGGAAAGGATTCACTAATTGAATTGAATATTATATTAACTATTATAAAAATTAAAAATATTGTTAAAGTTATTGAGATGTTTTTCTTTAATGTTTGCTGTAAGCACCCTCTGGCTAATAAACTCATTCAATTAATATAATTGACAGATAGATACTCGTTACAAGTGATCAGTGATTCTCAAGACAAGTTATTTTTGAAGCTATTATATTTATTAAAATTGATTGAACAAATTGGGTCCTTATTGATGATCAAATGAAAATTCAAGGTTTCTTCTCTAATGTACCTGTTCTAATGTAAAATTATACCAGAAATAGAACGTTGTCGCATGATACAACATAAAAAATTTTTCAAAAAAGATGGGTTGTGACATTACCTTGACGACTGCAAATGCAGAATGCGAATGAAAGTCCGCCTCATACACATCCTCTAAACAACAGAAACACTTTATCTCGATTTCCTAGTTGTTGTCACTCTTAGCGAAAGGTCATGACTGGCTAGACAGATTGCCATGTTTATGAGAATTGCAGTTTTACCAAATCTTAAAAGCATTGCACATGATTAGAAGGAAAACGACAAAGTAAAACTTTGTTTACGAGAAAAAGCCTTAGATGGCATTGATGCTTTTGTCCTCTGATCAACAACAACAATGAGTTCTATTATTATCTTGGATTCAATAATAGCAGTAAATTTAGATATATCGTTTCATTTAAACAACAACAACAGTAGTACACAGTAAGTCTCGGTATAGCGGACCTCGGTATAGCGGATGTCTAATAAACTCTCGGTTTAACGGATCAAAGCTCAGAACCGTCTATAAGTAAATTCTCTCGGTTTAACGGATTTACTAATTAAATCTTGAATTAATCTCGGTATAACGGATTTTTGAAATTTTTGTTCTAATTGCCCAAATTATCCGCTATACCGAGACTCACTGTGTATTGATTGTAATCATAATTAATTAGGTTACTGTTTTTGCAATGCTTAGATGAAGAATGTTCAGGACAACAGCAAAAGGATGCGGAGGGCAGGTTCTTGTTTTCTTCCTTATGTTTTTACTTGCTGCGCCAGCGAACAAAAATTTTACTTTGTTTTATTAAATTACAACTTTATCTATTATGTGTTATTTATAATAAATTTTAAATTATAGAACTTTAAACATTTTTTTCAGTACGGGGATCACGTTTTTATGGTAAATATTACAACAATCAAATAATCATACTTTATTATTTCTTCGGGCATGAATCATCCAAATATTATCTCATGCTCGTATTCATTCACGCCACTCATGTAAAAAACTAGGTTGTAAAATAAAGTTGCAGATGAACATCCAAAAAAGATCACAATTTAGCATTTGTTGTTAGTTCTTCTTTTACATCATCATCATCATCATCATCATCATCATCATCATCATCATCATTATCAACATCAATCTCAACATCAACAGCAACAAAGTATATCAAAAGCTCAACATGTGATGTAAAGTTTAGTAGCTAGAGCAGAAAAGTCTTCAAAATCTTATGGATATACATTAACATCAACTGCATCTGTAACTTCAGCATCATTATCATTATCATTGAAAGCAGCAAAAGTAATATATAGGTAAAAGTAAATCATTGGTAAAAATCCTAATTAATTAATTTAATAATAATACTTAATTACAAAAGGTAAAAAACATGCAAGTAAATGGGATATTCCTGCAATAAAACCAACATCATTACTGCCAACAACAACTACCAACATGTCATCATCATCATCATCACCGCCATCATCATCGTCATCATCAAATTCCATAATAATAATAATAATAATAATAGTAGTAGTAAAAAACAAAAACCATGAAATGTTAAACAAATTAATTCTTAATTTCAAAGTGATTCGATATTAATTATTGACAATATATAGATATTAACATATATTACTTATTAGCTGTTGTCATTACATTGAGAAGTAAAAATATTATATATAGGATTTTTATTATTATTATCTAAATGTGGAAGAGGATGAAGTAATAATTTTAAAAAAAAATTAAA